GACTGGGGTTTATGTATATGGAAATTTATTAATATGGGTTAGATCGGGATATAAATCAACTAACATAGCTGAAGAAACCCTTCCTGCATGGGTCCTTAAATTTGAGCAGAAGCAGCAAACATTGGTATCTGGTTGGTGGTTTGGAACATTATTTTTCCATTCAGTTGGGAATGTCATCATCCCAACTGACGAACTCATCATTTTTCAGAGGGGTAGGGTTCAACCACCAACCAGGTATGGTTGCCAGTCTGGGTAGAAATTGACCCAGAAAAACACCCTTTCCATCCAAGAAATTCCAACGAAAAATTCTTGGACAAGTTTTCCAACGAAAAATCCCGCACTAAACCCCACAGAGTTACAGAGTTTTTGAGAAATATCTGGGGATATTACAGTCATATAAATATATATATATATATATATATTATATATACCTGGATTGTACAGCAAATCCCATCCAAACCCTCCAATCCAGCCCGACTATGTTTTTTTGTTGGGTACGCATTGAAACTATGTACCCCCCCAGCTGGTTGTACAGATATCCTAACATTTGGTATACCGGTATACCCATTCTAGGTAAATAGCCATCCCATGATATACATTGAATATAAAATCTCAATGATAGATTGGATATCTGTCAATCATGGAAACTTGGATGTACTTAGTAAATCCTATTTGGTATATAGAAAGTGCATCCCATCTCCCAAGCCAAATTTCATATCCATCCCATAGTCATTGAATGTGTATATATATATATACATTTGGTGAGTTGGATAAGTATTGAACCTATTTTCCAACAAAAAAACCACTCAGAAACTACATCCCACCAATGATGTGACTTGGCCGACATCACTAGACATGGTTAGGATTCAAGGCAACTCAACATGGCCATGTCCATCCCATCCCATCCCAGGCATGGCGCGTGGTGCCCGATGTCGTGTCGTACAACTCGCTGATGGCATCCCTGCCGCGACGGCGCTGGAAAAGGGCGCTGCAGCTGCTGCAGTGGATGGGGATGACCCGGGTGGAGTCCGAGGCTGGGGCTGGGGATGGTCTGGAAATGTGCTGATTTCGCTATAGATCACCAGCCTATGATTTAAAATGTCTATAGCGAAATGAGTATACCATGTATATAGCGAAATGAGTCAACCTGGTTTCGCTATAGATCACCAGTATGTTTAGAATTTCTATAGCGAAATGAGTATTTCCAGAACACCATGAATTTTCAATGGCCATTTCAGGAACCTAAATTGGAGGTACCTACCATATATAAGGCCTATATAAGGCCTATGTAAGGGAATATCCCCAGAAAATATGGCCAGAAATATGGTACTAACGTACCTCCATTTTGGGATCCTGAAATTACCATTGAAATTTCAGATGATTTAAACCAGAGTCCAATGAGTCATCCAAATATCATCTTCACCAATGGTGATTTCACTATAGCAAAAACCACTGATGGAGTCAATGAAGGTTTGCTGGAAAATATAGGACAACTCACTATAAATGGTGGTTTATAGCTTGGAAAACAAAGCATCTTTGTTGAAGATGATGTTTCGGTTATTTTCCCAATGGAAAATTCATTATTTGGGGAATCCACACAGAATATGTGCTATTCTTTGGGGGTTCCTTAGGCAAATCCAAGTTCATCAACCAGGATGGCTATACTGGGTATATCATTATAATAGGGATCATAAGAGCTATGGTCAATACTCATGGTTAATAACCATTAATAGGGGCTAGTCATCCAATGGTTCATAGGGATTTATAATAACCATTATAAGGATCCTTATTATGGATGGGATGACCATCAACCATATAGTGAGTATTGACCATGGCTCATATAATGGGAATAATATGGGGATAGACAGTGTGGTGAATCCCTGCTGGTGAAATCAGCTAGGTGTATCATCTTGAATTCCCATGCAGTAAGCATCAACCACCCACGAGTTTTGGTGGCTAACCAGTTACGATCCGTGTCATGTTACTGAAAGTTACGCACTTACACTATGTTTGGCCAAATTCATGATTTCTGTTTTATTCAATCACCATTTTCCCAAGATTTCCTATGATTTTTCCATCTTTCCCCATGATTTCCCCATGATTTTCCTATGTTTTTTCCATATTTAAAGGGGCATTACCCCCCTGATGCGCCAGTTGAACCTGGTGGGCGTCAACTGCGCCCTGACCCTGGCAGCACACGGCAGCTGCTGGCAGCTGCTGCTGCAGCAGCTGAGCGGCGTGGCCAATGGAGCCACAGCCAATGCGTGGATGGCGCACTGCCAGGTGCAACGGGGGCTGCCAGGGATGGTCCAATGATTCCAATGTCAGTGTAGCTGTATGAACCAGTGTGAACAATCCCACTTGGGGACTTGCTAATGCAAATTCATATTTCTGTTTATACTATATTTTGTTTGTATTGATTTATAGTGCAACTGTTGCTCATCTACTTCGCGAAGTTTGTCTTTCCATTTCAGCAGTGTGGGGTGTCCCCACAACCATATTGGTGAAAACCCCCAAAAAATGGATTGTCCTAATAGAATGGATTATTCATTTTGGCAGATTTGAATGATTTTGAATGGACTATTTTGACAGATTTTCGCAGGTTTTCGGGTATAAGTCAGTAAAATGCTGGCGAACTTCTGTCTCCTCCTTTTCGGCTGCTTCAGTTTCTTCAGGAGCTCCTGAAGTTTCCAGCCAAGCTTGTTTGGAGGTGCAGTTCAACTATAATTTACGTGATGATATTTCACTAGTTGTAGGGATTATATCATATCCCAACATCATGCATGTTATGCAACCATAGTTCTACCCATTCATAACCCCAATTGCACCCCCCAAGTCATCCTTCGTCATCCGCAGCTGGAAGGAGCGTGGTGTTTGGGGCGATGCGGTGCAGTGTCTCAGCCTGATGCAGCAGCGGCAGCTGGAGACCAGCTGGCGCACGAGAAGATCTGCTGTGGGATGCTTGGCTGTTTCAGGTAGTTACCAGGTAGTTCTGGGGGAATTTGCGGTGGAATTTGCCTGTAAAATGCTGAGGATGTCATATTACCCCAACCTTTTCAGCATGTTTACCGACTTTTTTGGGGTGGGTGAGGTCTTACCACAACCAATTTGTATGGGGAAATCAAGGTTGAAGCGGGGTAACTTGGTTAACCCAATGTCATAAACGTCAAATTGGGATAAATGAGGGATGATTTGAACAAGATTGAAGAAGCCATTGGGATTTCTGTATGATTTCGATATCTTTCCGTTCAGAAAACGTCCAAGCCGATCTGAGGATCGTTGGGTCAGCAGAGCTGGCGTAAGGTGCCTGGCCGGTGCCCATTGACCCTTCATCAGCGTCATCAAAGGTGATAATGGAAAAAGCATAAAACCCCGCATTTTATGGGAAAAACCATGGAAAAACCCACATTTGGATACATTTGGTTCGATGATTTTCCCCATAAAAACCTTCCTGGAGGGTAAATGTGCACAGAAACCTCCAGGCCTACAGCATTTTACAACTAAAAGTTCTGGCAGCGGATGATGAAGTGGGTGCTTGGCATGCTGCAGCCACCAGCGCAGGACGTGCAGGTGGAGTCCACCAGTTTATGATTTTATGGCCATGGGAATGACTGGGAGATTTCACGGCCAATTGGGGGATTTTCACCGACTTGATGGGGATATACCCTCTGGTAAACATACAAAAAACTATGGAAAATCACAATCTTTAGTAGGCAAATCAACTCTAAATGGGTATTTTCAATAGCTATGTTAGTTTACCAGAGGGTAATAGGGATTATAATGAGATAGCTAAAAATGAAGTGGTGAAATTTCGCTTGATATCCCCAGGATTGGGAGCTATCAATACGTTGGGATATATATAATGGGATCCCATTATATATAATTGATATTTCACCAAACCAAATTGGGATAGCTACAAATCATATGATATTTAGCTTTGCCAAAAATTTTTGGACGAACCCTAAGTGTTTTTTCTGCGGTTTCTTGGCGTGGGAAGGTGTCAGGCATTGAGCCGTTGGTAGATCCTGTATTGATGCTCCGATATTGTGACCTTGTGGCCATGTCTTGCACAGCAAACACAACGATATGGGTTTGTCTGAAAATAGGGCACACCGGCACACCCAATTTTGATCTATTTTGAACATGTTAATCATCACTTATATCATGTCTCCATTATTCATCACATTATGATTTAACATGTGGTTCATAACAATGAGGCATTATATTCCCTGTCCTTTTCCTGGGGTTCAATCCCGCATTGCCAGTTGTGGGCCCTTTCAACCAGGCCAGTGGTTGGAAGCACTCAGACCAGTTCAAACGCTTCAAAGAAGGTGCGCAAGTTGCGACGAGTTCTGCACGTGATGCAGTGATGTTTGCCTCTCATAGTCAAGTTATACCCTCTGGTGATTTAACAAAAAACTATGGGAAATCACCATTCATAGTGAATTTTCCCATCAAAAATTGTGAATTTCCATAGTTATGTTAGTTTACCAGATGGTACATGTTTTTTCCCATAGATTCAGGGTGGTTCTACAACCCCCCAAAAGGATAGACATGTAAAATCCTGCTGAAATAGTGATTCTTCAATTACGTTTCCATCTTTTTTTGGGTGGTTGCTAGAATAGAATCCCAGTATATCCCAGTTGTCAGATTTGGGGATCTCCCAGCTAGCCATGTTTGAAAAGGGGTACCCCTCAGGAAAACTAACAGTTTGCTGTTGAAAATGGCCCAGTCGAAATAGTTGATTTACCCAGTAAAAATGGTGGATTTTCCCATAGTTATGTTAGTGATTGTGATGAAATGACCCATTTATAGTTGATTTACCCATTGAAAATGGTGATGTTCCATAGATTTTTGTATGTTTACCAGAGGGTTTACCGCAAAAGAACATCAAAGCTTTTAGCCGAAAAAGCATCCAATTGGATTGACACGCTAAATTGGGGGACCCCAGTATCATCCAAAAAACAAAACTCATGTTTCGTAGGGAAACCATGGCAAAACCCATGGCAAAAGGGGCATCACAATGTGCCATGGTCAAGCTCCTTGGGATGAACGGTGCCATCCCACCACTTTTTTGTGGCTCATATATATATAGTTGTCAGAAGAAATATAACCATTATTAAGAATATAGGTTTTAATATAGCTAATCATCCCACCATTTAAAAAAAGTTTTGAAGTAGTATCCCTCAAATTCTTACTTATCTTTAATAAGTGCAAATCATGTTATATAGCACAATCATAAACTGGAATTCATTTATAAACCTGCACCAAAATGGAGGGTTGACCATCCCTTGTTGTGGGATGACCATGTAAAATAGCTATAGTGAATTATATATCTATATGATTAATTAACTATACTTATCATTACTTGCCTATATAATTGTATCTATAGTTATATCATGTTATATCCCCCATAACCCCCAGATTTTTCCGGGATCCATAGCAGAACCCCCCATTTTGCGTTGCGACTTCCAGCTCCTTCCAGCTCCACGAAGCACGACGACCGGTGAGGCGTTTGAAGCTGGACGTGATTTCTTGGAACGTCTTGGTGGACGCCATGGCTAAAGCTGAACGCTGGCAGATGCTTCGCCATGGCGGACATGGTTGGGGGTTCGTGAAACGTGGGGGATTTTAACAATGGGAATATAATGGGAATATAATGGGAATATAATGGGAATATAATGGGAATATAGTGGTTTATCATGGGAATATCATGGAATATAGTGGTTTAAACTATTTATACCATTAACAATAGTGGTTTATCATGGGAATATCATGGGAGTAGAATTGTCACGTTTCATTACTAGAGAGTAATAGTCGACGATGGGTTTAAGCAATGAATAGTGGATATGGTGTATTTCCTGTGGATGAAGCCTAAGATTAGAAACATGATTTCCAGCGTTCATGGTGATTCACGCTATGTGTTTTGTTTTCTTGAAGCCTAAATAATGTAGGCTGCTACTTCCCCCTATTCACTCACCACTCCTCACCAAAATCATCGAAACATAACAATATTTACATCTATATCTATATTATCTATCAGCAAACATATACAGTCATATACATACATGAAATAATACAATTTGGAGTCACAGTGTCTTAAAATCTCCATGTATACATACTCTATCTTATAACATGTACATCATATGGACATCATATATGCACATCATCTGCACACCATACGCACTGTGTACATTCCAATCATTCCACAGATCTCCCCTGACACGTCGTTTACCCGTCGTTTCACCAAGGAGATCCTTGGATTTTCTGCGCGAGATGCGCCGGACGCAGATCCGACCCAATCACAACACGCGGCGCCTCGTTGCGAACTTTCGTCGCGGCCTGGGCCCGAAAAGGATGGCGCCAAAAAATGTGCCGAACAATGTGGTTTTCGTGGGGTTTTACGCGCGGATTTGGATGGGATCTAGCAATGATGATAATGAGAATATATGAGAATATATGACAATGATGGTTTGACTTGCCAAAGATGGGTCGTTTTGAGGAAATAAAATGGGATCTAGCAATCATCATAATAATAATGATGCCTCGATAATGATGGTTTTGCTCACAAAAATGTTCTTTATTTCATGGGATTGCAGTGTGATGCAGTGTGGGATAACAAGTAGACGCTTGTTTTTTTTCAGGATTTTATCGGGCTCAACGACTGTTTACGGTGAATCTGACACATCTGGGTGAATCCACAGAGTGAAGGACCGCAAATCTATGGGAGAATTTTGCTGGGAGAACTTAGCTGAATGCTACTTGTAGGTGAATAGGTCCATTCTTAATAACCTTCGTAAATGGTGGCATTTGGGGCGGTTATGAGGTTGAGAGCACTAGAATTCAAGTGTCACTGGTGTCCACTTCTCAAAATATTTCGAGGGGTGCAAGCTGTACATGACACTTAGAGAGATAGGGATTTATTCACTAAGAAAGGGATTCATGGATTCATTGCGAAAGGGGGAAGTGGTAGTTCCCTGTGGCATCCGGGGTGTTGGGAGCAACTTTGCAACTTTGCATCTCTGCAATGTGGTGAAACGGATGGACAGAAATGGGTGGTATAAAGCCATCAAATACGGGATGTTTATTGTGTTTCCACATTGGCAGTCATTCATTGAGTTCCATGCTCCTTTTAGTTAGAGATGAAACAATAACAACATGGTCATGAGATACTGGAGAATGTACAGGGAACAATGAAGAACCATCATCATTTAATCTGGTTTTCACATTCAAAACAGAGCACACCCCGCAACTTTGGATTCTTCAATTGGTCCAAGGAATGGCAACATCAGCGCGGCAGGTGGGTGATGGAGATAGCTGGGTGTGTTTACATGTTCCCTCAGTTTTAAGTTTTTCCCAACATTTGTCCACCTTTTCCCTAAGTTTTTCCCTAGGTTATGTCGTATTTTCCAACACTTGTGAGGCTTTTCTCCCCTTTTTTTCTATGTTTTCCCACATGTTCCCGCATTTTTCAGGCTTTCCCCACCATGTTCCTATGGTTTTCGTCAGGTTTTCCGTGGCTTTCGCAGGTTGGCGCCTGGCGCATCACCTGCTGCGCTTCGTCACCGGCGACGTCACGGTGGCCACCAACGCGGCGGCCGACGACACGCCGTGGCCAAAGGCGCTGCAGCAGTGGCGCACAGCACGGAGGAGGCGGTGGGGATCCTGCGGGGATTTGCCGGTGATTTTTCTGTAGATGACCATCTCCCCAGGATATCATGGGATATCTATTGATCATGGGAGTTTAATGGGATTTATAGTGATTAAATGGGATTTTATAGTGATTAAATGGGATTTTATAGTGATTTAGTGGGATATCATGGGATGCTTTCCCTCTGGTAAACTGACAGTTTGCGAACTTGAACATGGCCCAGTCGAAATAGTGGATTTACCCATGAAAATAGTATGGTGGATCTTTCCATAGTTTTTTGGACATGTTTACCAGGCCGGGTATTTATGAGTGATAATTCATTAATTATGATATATATATATATATATGTATATATACCCTTTGGTCATTTAACATAGCCATGGAAAATTATCATTTTTATTATGTGCATCATCTATAAACGGGCCATTTTCCACAGCTATATATATATATATATTTGGGATATCGTGGGATTATGAATGTGGATTATTGATGATTATTTGGATTAATTATCTACTTGACTATGGTCATGATTTATAATGGGGTACCACAAATCTATTTATTGATGGTATTTGCCATTTGTGGAAAGCCATTATAAACCATCCATCTATATGTCATCAACCATGATTTATGAATAGATGGAAATAAACCACTTATGGTTATAAAGATTTATATGGCTCATAAACCACTATATGTCATTTGATAGATATTGCTTGGAGATAAACCATCAACCATGATTTATCAATGTTTATCCAGTTTTTAAAGCAATATTTATCAGTGATATCTCCATATGTTGATGGTTTCTCAAGAAGAGCCCTGAAGGCTTCCACACATGGGGGTAGCGCCAAATGGATGATTTAGATGGTTGATTTCAGGGACAAACCTACTAAAATTTGGATGATTTATCATGGTTTATAATGGTTTATAATGGACAATACTCCCATTTTGGGAAACTACCATATATGAATATCATATCCAGGAATATTGGGATTATTAAATGGGGAAAAAAGGTGGTTAAGGAATAGGGAGAGAATTGGTGCTTAAAGCATGTTATGGTGAGATATTAGATTAAGTCATCAATTTTCTTCTATGGGAAATGGTAACTATAGTTTTACCAAGCAAATTACGTGAAAAAAACATGCTATTTATATATTTTAAAAGGCCAATAATAGTCCGGCTATTTGTATGTCTACCATCATATTTCCCTCAATGATCATTACCATTTATCAGTACATGTGTACCATTTAATCACTGCACATTGGTGACTATGCAGCATTAGATATAGCATATTTCGGCAAGATTGCTGCAATTGCTATAACATGCTATAAATAGCATTATGTTCATGACGATATTAATCAATTAATTGGCTGCATGATGTTTATGACCACTGGCATGATGATCTATTATTACCATTGATCCAAACAAAAATGAGTTTGATGCCAATGAATTGGATCTGATCCTCTTAAACTATGGATTTTCCCACTAAATCCTATGAAAATACCATAAAACCACCATAAAACCACCATGGTTTCCCGGAAACGTCTTCACGTTGAATCCCAGGGGGATCCAAGCCTCAAGCATCAGCTTCAACATCATCACCGCGACAGCGTGCCGTGGGACGTAGGAAGTTCGGTGCTGAAAACTAATCTTTATGGTTAATTGTGGTTAATTATGGTTAATTGTGGGGATATAGATGATATCATGGGATATCTATGATATCTATTGATCATGGGAGTTTAATGGGATTTATGGTGATTAAATCATGGAATTGTAGTGATTTAATGGGATTTTATAGTGATTTAATGGAATATTAATGGGATATACCCTATGGTTAATTATGGTTAATTATGGGGATATATCTAAACAAAATTGATGATATCATGGGATATCTAGATTGATCATGGGAGTTTAATGGGATTTATAGTGATTTAATGGGATTTATAGTGATTTAGTGGGATATCATTATATCATGGGATACTTATCCTCTGGTAAACGTTTACAGTTTGCTATTGAACATGGCAATTTAGTTCGTTGATTTACCCAGCTATAAAATGGTGGATCTTTCCATTATCTGATTATTATATGGTTATTTAATGATGGGATTTGTGGGTATATGACTAGAGAAGACTGGAGGACATGACTAGTTTAGGATAGCTAAGTTGGTGGTAACTCCATTTTCACTATGGCTTATGAATGTTTCTGATAGATATATCGAACTACTTAATGGGGTTTATAAACCAACTTATAACTGGGAGGGCACCACCTTGTGGTGCCAGGTCGGAATGGCTCAGTTGGTTTATTTCACCAACATTTGACTGTTGGGTTTCTGCTATATATATATAAATATATATATATATATCTATTGTTGATATGAAAGTTACTGACTGGTTGGTAGTTTGGAACATGGCTTTTATTTTTCCATATATATATATTGGGAATAATCATCCCAACTGACTTTCATATTTTTCAGAGGGGTTGAAACCACCAACCAGACATGATATTTAGACTTAATGCATGGTTAATTCGAGTAAAACATGAATTGATCGTTTATCGCGTCGAATATTGTCAAATGTATCTGAGATACTAACCAAGAACCTGAAATCAGGATGGAAAACTGTTTGGAAGTTGTTATGAACTGTCATTGCCGGTTGATGCCTTCCAGAGAACTTACAATGACTGGGCTTCACCGTGACAAATCATCTGTGGGGTGTCAAAAAAAAACGTCACTGGCCGATATGAACATGTTTTTAGATTGAATTGTGGTGGGGTGACCATAATCGATATACGCCATGTTTTGACCATGGCATATATAGGGAATTGCGGGGGTGACATTATTGCTTTCACTTTATTTCACTTTGGTAACTTCTCAATCCCATCTCCCTTGTATTCAATTCCTTTACTACCAAACTAGGGGTTCTACGGGTCATATATTTCTGATATTGGGGAATTGATTTTTGAGGTATTTCCAACTCGACCACCAGGACCCAAATCCAGTTGGATGTGAGTGGTGATATCTCCAGATAGCATCAGACATCCCCATTTCTGCTTGGTTATACCATGTTACAATTCTCATGTTTTCTTGGAGATATCACCATATCCCAAGATTTTGTTGGTTATTTTCCACTTCAAAACTATCAAAACCACCTTGTTGCCTGTTATAGCCACATCGAAAAAAAAAACAGCTTATTTTCCCCACCCATGACTAAGTAGTTAGAGACAGCTGCATGGTTATTTTCCCCACTTTTTGCTCATTTTTCGAGATTTAGGTCACCTTTAGCTCACCATCCCTAGGTGTTGGCCACGCGCCTTGCAGCTGCAACGTTGCGCTGCTTGGGAAGGTGTGGCTGGTGAGAGCACACCCAGCAGGCATGCCATCATTGGTGCCTTGCCCAACAGGTCCGGATCCAGAGTTGAAACCCGCAGGTGATGAAAAAAACCGATCCATAGCTATGGATCACCCGGGAATGATCCATAGCTGTTTTTTTTTGAGCCACAACCGTAGAGTTTATCATGATTTTCCCTGTTGAAAACAACCATTTTGGGATATCCCTCGTTTTTGGCCAAGCCCATATCAATCAACAGATATTTGATCTAGATATGTTAATCCACCAGAAACCCTAAGGATCCTCCAGCAACCTTGGTAAGTCTAATATCTAGGGGCTGGATGATGGGTTTTCTCTCATGTTCTTTTCCAGTGGAGGCGAGTCCCAGTAAGTGCTGAAATGGGATAGTCCTGGGTTATACCATGGTTCTTAAGCTTGGGCATACCATCTCATCATATGGGTGTGTCTGAAAATAGTGTACCCCTAAACCCAATGATTAATGATCATTATCCCTATTAAATGGCTATAATTGGGAATATACCCTATTTTCAGGCAAACCCATATAATGATTAAAAAAAACTATTAAGATTCGCATGATAATCACCAGTTCTACCGGGGTTCTCAAGCTCTGAAGTTGGATGTGTTTTGATTCGCATGGAAGGTTGCGGAATGATGCATGTGAAGCTAGGATCACTCGCGAATGTAACTGGGTCATATCCCAAGATAGACCACCGGAACTGCTTCAACAGCTTCTAAATGGTGATATCCCAAGATGGTACAAGCCTTTTTCTAAGCAGTTACAGATTTTACAGATCATGCCTGGAGGTGTTTGGCTCGATCCCTTCATGAGACTTTTCCACATGGGTCCTGTAGGCCACCTGCTCCTTCTGGTTTGCATTGAGAAGCTCCAATCGCAATATCTGAGCCATTCAAAATAACCTTCTCGGTGATGATTATAATGGCTTCGAACGTGTTATAGGGATTGTGCACTAACGCATTTAACGATACCCTGGAAATAGCACCAATAACGATAGCCAGTATTTCATCGCACCAGCGCGATGGGAAAATCTCAGGTGCCGTTGCTTCAGCACATCTATGGAGTCGGATTCTGCAGTTCCTCGAGAACGCAGGGGTGCGCTGGTGGCCGGTCCTGCAAGCTGGACGCCATGGGAAGACCAATACCATCAGCCCTGGAGAAATTCATGGGGAATTTACCCTCTAGCAATTTACCATAGATATGGAAAACTCACCAGACATGTAGATCGATTCCCGAACCGGAAGCCAGTCTTTTTCCATATTTATTTTTATCTATTCTAATTTTCCTGGTTTTGGGCATAGGTTGAATCAACCATTTACCTAACAGCCATCATGAAATTTTCATCGAATGTCATCGATTACTTGATTCACACGTCATCATTATGAACAACAATCATCAGTAATCACAGTATCACTAGAAAGTCCGTTATTTGTCTATACGTCAACTTTAAGAAGAAATAGACAAGATTTTGCCACACATTTTATTTTCCAACTATCCTTCGCGGGTGCCTATATATATTTTTTGGAATGGGATGTTTATATCACCACTTATAAATATCCAGAACATCCATAGGAAGAATAAATAATGATAAATGGCTGATGGATGTTTTAGATATTAAAACATTAAATACCCATCAAAGAAACTGTTCCAAATGATAAGTTCAATGAAGTATTTAACCGTCATAAATAAACCATTAGTCAAACCAGATATGGTAATCATCAATTATCATTCATAAACCATTAAGTGGCCATGAATATCCATGAAATAAACTGAGATAAAGTCAGTTCTTCACTCATGTATTGTTATGTAGTGTAAAGTCTCACACCACCCTTCATCAAGGTCAGTTCTTTTCTGATGTATTGTTATGTAGTGTAAAGTCTCACACCACCCTTCATCAAAGTCAGTTCTTTTCTGCTGTATTGTCATGTAATGCAAAGGCTCACACCACCCTTCATCAAGGTCAAGTCTCACTCGCGCACCATCCTTCATCATAGTCAATTCCATCAAGTCTCACTCGCGCACCACCCTTCATCAAAGTCAGTTCTTCACTCATGTATTGTTATGTAGTGTAAAGTCTCACACCACCCTTCATCAAGGTCAGTTCTTTTCTGCTGTATTGTCATGTAATGCAAAGGCTCACACCACCCTTCAAGGTCAAGTCTCACTCGCGCACCACCCTTCATCATAGTCAATTCCATCAAGTAAAAGTCATTCGTAACTCGGAAGTATTGCTTCCCAACTTCCTTTGATAAATGGTATTTCTTCAAGTTCAACAACCCAACCATGTAGGGCTGGTGATAAATCAAATTTGCATTATTATTATTGTTATTATTATTGTTTTATATCGCTAATAATGATATATGTTGTAATACATGTGTTTATTAACAACCAGCTGTTAACATCCAGGTATTATATAGATAATATTATATGATTAGATAATGCCGTTATTAGATGATTTCATATTCGTTCATAACCGGTTAACGGCGTTAACGGTTCATAAAAGGGCTGCCCCCCCTGCCGCCGACCCCAGGGGTGTTGGGCCTTCTTTCTAAACCGACGAGGAACTAGCTCCAAATTGCAGCCTTCAAGCCTCCAAAACCTTGGCCTCGCCCCACACCGAAATGCCATGCAACTGAAGGACCTTGTCGTGCCTTTTGCTTTCCGGCTTTCTTGCTCTAGCTTCTGGCGCTTGCCGCTGACTTTCTGCTGTTTCCTTCTTGTGTTTCGCACTCAGGACGCCAGCAACCGACTGTTCGTCCACACTTGCTGCTTGTACTGTCTTCTCTGATGCGCTCCCCCTGCCCTCGGCTGGGGTCGGCGGGTATCATTATTGGATACTATCATGACTATCATATCATCAATAACCAGCCATTTGATGTTCCCAATGCACGCCAACCATGCCGCCGTGAATCTTGTCAAAGCGCAGGCCATTGGCTTTGTGACAGCCATCGAAGCGTGCCGAGGCACAGCTGGAAGAGTGAGCTGGTGGAGAGTCAGCGATGTTTTTTGGGGAGATTATAATGTGAAATAATTTGCTAACATTTTATTATATTAATTATATTGTATTGTTTCTTTTTTTGGACTATATTTTGAAATAGTATAAAATAAAATAATGTGATAGAATCCGGCGGATCATAGAATATTACAATTGGACTATATTTATATGATTTTATATTATTCCCATTTTAATATTATTACATATTACAATGGGAACAGTATAAATTATACAACAATATATTTTATAATATGATGGAATGTAGTATTATATAGAAATGAACATATGACACCACCTAGTATAGCATAATATAATGTAATGTAATGCGACGTGGTATACTATAATGTCATATAATATATCATATGATGTACTTTGCATGGTTTAAATTTCAAGTTTAGAGTAAACCTTGATTATAGCAGGTTCATTCAATGGGTTGTCTTCATCGGGAAAAACATCAGGGGTTTCCTGCAACATTTCCCTCAAACCAGCTCAAACAAAAAACTGAAACAACCATGGTTCCGGAGTTTAAGCGATTCTATGTCATACTACCGGTGCTTGCTGACATCCCAACACATTCTTTGAGAGCCTATTTTTTCTCCTGCTAGAAACGCACCGGTTTTGCCGGTGATACTCACTTTTCTTAGGTGATTGAAACATTGTTCACTTACTTTTTTTTGGTATTGAAGTCCATTCCCATAGGATCCATGTATGGTATATTTATCTACATTTGGTTCATTTATGGGGTAAATGTTGGTAAATATTCCATACATGGATCCTATGGGATTTATTTGCTATTCATTCGTGTTACTACGGGTCCATTTTCTGCAGGCGATCCCAAGTCGTCACACCAGGCACTTGGCTCAGAGCCTGGCAACTCTTCGCAGCTTCGCCGGTGGCACCTGATCGGATGACCTGCGATATGGTGCCAGGGGAGGAACTGCATATTTCGATATATTTCGATATAACCATGAAAGATAGGGGGTGTATGGGGTTTTAACTATCTAGTCTATAATTGTTAAAAAAAGGTTGGTTGATGATATGAAATATGGGGAAATCTGGGGTTTTCTTAAAATGGGTATCCATTTTGCCATGGGTTTTAAAACTAAAATGGTCGACTTTGGGGCTACCACGACTTTTTAGGACACGTCCATATGGTGGAAGGGGTAGCCCAAAACCATCCAAAACAATCCAAGACCATTGTTTTCCCTATGACAAATGATGATGATACCAACAATTTCATGAGCATTTGAGAGGATTTTGGATGTAGAACCGACCATATATTTGTGTGTGTCTGAAAACGGGGGATTCACAATCCAAAACGGCAATTTCATAGGTAAAATCATGATGAACAATCACATTTTTGGGTAGTTTTAACTGCGTTGCCTTTGTAACTGGGGTAGATTTGGATATCCAATAGAGTAACCCCCAAAAAGATAAACACATAGTTCCAGATTATTATTATAGATGATGTTTCCTCATATTTTCCAGGTTTCCAACGTTCCTATTTTTTTGGGGTTTGTATAAGTTGGTGACATCCTGACTGGTCCACCCTTTTCTACATCTGGTTCTACATGGGTTGACAAGAGATTGGGATCCCGCGAAATGTAGCTGATTTGATGCTGACACACAACTTGCTGCAATTCTTCAAGAATTTGAAAATAAATTGTTATCGAAAGTAGAACGAGTCTGTTGAGACTAAGGGTTGTGACTACTAATAATCAGTATACTGGTTGGTGGTTTCAAACAGTTTTTTTTATTTTCCATTTCATATATGGGATAATCCTTCCCATTGACGAAGTCCATCATTTTTCAAGATGGTTTTTTAACCACCAACCAGTACGTATATATCATATATCATTATCATAATCAGTGTTAGCGCCATCCAGATGTAGCAATTCCATCAGCATCAAACGCAGATGCTGGAGATGCTGGGTTACTGTAATGGATTCAGCGGGATTCCCCGGGTCAAGCACAACATCTCTGCACTACATCGTTGGGGGATGATGATGATCATCCCCTAAAATAGCAGCAGCTTTTCATGGAAGAAATGATAACTGGATGGTTACCCGGCCTGGTTATGACTAACAGTTCGCCATGGGTAAGCCATGGCCCCATAGAAATATATGGTTTGCCTATTAAAAATGGTGGATCTTGACAAATGGCGAAGTGTTAGTCATAACTGGATATAAGTGAAAGGATAATCTGTATTTTATTGGATATTATAACTGTCAAAGAACTGTTAAATAACTGATAAATAACTGATAAATAACTGTATGTTCAAAGCATTAATCTGTCGCCGAAGCTCCAAAGTGTCAGGTGGTCTACAGCAGTGAATGCGCTGAGTCCCCCAGCGACGTGACGTGGGTGACAAGGCGGGCGGATTTTTTTTCGGAACGGTTTCATGGTGGACGTAGTGGATGTAGTTCCCACAAATGCCATACACTATGTACATTATAGTGTTTATGTATGGCATATGTGGGATTTGTATTGGAACAAACCATCAATCAAAAAATCAAATCAAATCAAGTCAAATCAAATCAATCAATCAATCAATCAGTCAATCAATCAATCAATCAATCAATCAATCAATCAGATTTAAACATGTATTGTCCCAAGATGTCTAAAGATTGGTTTAATGTATGTATATTTGCAACATCCTGCAGTTGATAAGGGTTGAACCAACCACAAGACCAAGTCCAATTTTGTACCCTCCAGTAAATTAGCAGTATAAATATGGAAAGACTACGGTTTCCCCAGCGATCTACCGGATCTACATTTCTTGTGGCTTTTCCACATCTACCCTCTGGTGTCATCAACCGTGGCGGACCGTGGACAATCCCCGAAGTCAATGGAGGTTTGAGTGGGGAAATCATCCATAAAACCAGGTTTTTTTTCCACTAAAAGATGGAGATGCAGGCCATGGAGATGTATCACGTGATTTTCCAGCAAATTGCTGGTGATGTCAAGCCACCATATGTTCCTAGGGTAAGCCACCAAGTAACCCATAGTATTCCATATGATGCCTATGATAAACCAACCATGAAGAATTGCTGGTGATGTCATGATATTCCATGGTTTTTTCCATTTTGTTTACCAGGTTCCCAGGTTAAGAAAGACCTGTCAAGTGTTTTCCCCTGCTTGGCACGTGCAGGTCATGCTGCTTCGGTGGGAAAAACGGCGCGGCTAGGTCGCACCCTTTGCAGTCGAGAATTGAGGGGTGTTCACTGTTGGTTGATGATTGTAGGATGTTGTCCGGGATCAGATTACCCGTTGTATTGGGGATTATAATCATCCATTATTGGAATCCTATATCAATTGACCAGTATAGTGGAACTGGGATCATCATCGCAATTGACATTTTGGGGGCTTTGACCAGCTAGCTGATCTTACGATCAACCAGTTTTCGGCCACTTGGCTTTGTTTTTTGTCTACAAATGGGGTACTGCACACCCCATTTCAAGGCCCGCAAGAGATGTGGAGAATGAGTTGAGTTTACAACCCCTGGATTTTGGGGTGCCCTATGTTTGGACAAAACCAACCTTTGATGATATATATCGTGATAGATTCTTATCATAATAATAATATATAGATTCCTATCATGTCATGATTCATTTCAGAATCGGCTCATACATTTGGAACACATTTTCCTGTCGCGATAGGATTCCATGGATCTTTCCACTTGTTGGTTGTTTCATTGTACTCCCCCGCACAATGAGCCGAGCTGTTCAACTTGAAATAGATGCCTCGCCGGCCTATCAAGACAGATAGGACAGCCAGCCCTGACAACAGCAGTACAGTATAGTAGATCTCATTTGGCAAAATGTTGCGACCTCAGGTTGTGACCGAACCCTGGAATCTTGACATGAATTGGGTGCAATTCTCCCCCTGGAGGTTTCTTGAGTCATGGGGCCTACCCCCAGTTCTCCGTTTTTTTCCACTGTGATTTTCTATAGGAATTGGATGTGGGGAATTATCCCTGCAGATTGCCGCACATTTTGGGTTAGTGAAGTTCAGTTGGCCCCCAAGAACCGAGAAGATGGCGAAATGTCGAAACGTCAACCTGGGTTTTTGGCTACTTGGTCAATGTGGTTAAAACAATGATAGGTGGTATAAACCATTCCCAAATGGGTGGTTTATTTTTGTTTTAACCACATTACTCACTTGTCTTAAATCAATAAGAACTAGGTACTGGAGGTTTTACTTGGCTACTTGGTTACACACTTTTCTCAAATCCATAGGACCTAGGTACTGGATGCTGCTGGATTAAGAACAGATCCTTAGGGAGTTCACCCCAGTCGTCACCATGGATTTCACTACTAAGACCAAGCCCAAAACCCCCCAAAAATGGTCTAAGTTTGATCTAAAACACTTAAATGATCTGAAGTCACCATGGATTTGGGGTACCCCTATTTTTAGGACCCCCCCATTTGAACTTTGGGGAAATTTCACCGGAGAAGTGCCGCAATGTGTGCCCTGCCGTTGAACTTGCTGGTGGCAGGGAATCTCAGGATGCTGCGGAGACGTCGGTTTGGGGGAAGCCAATAACCAACAAACATGGTTATTTGATGAAAATACATGAAAATACATGGAGATTTATTGGGACTTGATGGGGATCTAGTTAGGATACCGTACTTGAACATACTTGAACATACTTGAACAATAGCTTGATTTTCAAGGAATTCTGCGAAGTGGTTGAAGTTGTTTTCGTTGACCGCGTTGGCCAGGTTGACTGCTTGGTTGCCTTTTTTCTCAAGACGGACGTGTACTGCATTTGCACTGCGCAGTGCTATTCACTTCGACATGAAAACCTGGTACTGTGAGTGAAACACATGGAGAGAACAACTGAGAACAACTGCCGAATCTCATGTTGCGCAAAAGAAAGGCCTTGAAAAACCATGACACATTCTGTATTGTCGTAGACTGCAAGAAATTCGCGCCGCTGGACAGCGCAAAGGATTCGCTGCCTCATGTCGGTGTCTGTGGATATTCCTGGACATGGTCACTTCGACATCCCATTGACTGCTTCGAGCACCGCTGCTGACATCATTTTTCTTCTACGTGAGCGTTTGCCAGGCAGTCCATGGCATGGGAACAAGTTGCTTTCAAGTGGGGTCTGCCAGCTACAGTGCGATGACGTTGTGGAGGCAACCCGCCATAGCAGTTTGGTCTTGACAAACTACTCAGAGATCACCAACCAGGAGACAAATGTGGATCCGTGTTTCTATTTTTGAGGCAAACATGCAGATTTTCTTACATAGAACGCCCCAACACGTACCAACGAATACTATATATATGCTCCATGTATGGAATATTTACCAACATTTGCCCCATAAATGACCCAAATGTAGGTAAATATACTATACATGGAGCATCTGGGAACGAATACTGTGGTTGATCGATTCATACTCACGGTTTGTGATTTGGACATTGGTTTCAGCAGGTTTCAACATATTTTGGACACTGGTGGCTTGCGAGACTTATCCATGACGCTGAAATAGGAATGGAAGGAACTTCCATTGTGAACATGCGCTCTATCGATAGAAAGAGGAGAAGCAATGTATTGATATCTATTGCATTTCAGAGATTTGAAATCAATAAGTTCCACATTAAATGTGTATCGCTGTGTATCGTATAGTAGCGCTTTTCGATTTCCACCCTGTCCTTGGTCAGCTGTTGGGGACTGCATTGCAAAGCGAAGGAGGCTTTCCGCATTGAAGATACTGCAGAGCGAGGGATCACTCGCGAGCAATTGGCAAAGATCGTTGTTTTCATCTCCAAGATGGCTGACAGATGGTGCGAAACATTCGGAGAACAGCATGGGACAAGGCTGCGGCTTAAGACGTTCAACTTGTATCATGCGAATGATTGGATCATCAAACCAGCCACCGAAACCTGGATTTGTTGATGATGTGACAAACATTGAGGAATCTACCATTTTTTATCAATTTTCTTTTTTCCTTTAATGGCCACATTGTGCAGAATCCAAGGATGGCTATG